AAAAGTCACATGGGGTGGGGATGTACTCTCACAGGAGTGGAATGTCAATGACACCGAGAGCGGATGAAATGGGAACAGCTTCATATGGAAGGGACTCACAGAGCATGCCGTGGATAGTGGCTATAATGCGCATATAAACTAAAAAAATCCCAGCGCCAATCAAAGAAAGTGTACAATTATGCAGCTGTGCACCAGTGAAAACCACCAATAATAAATAACACAAAAAACAGCGCAAAAATTAAATAAATAAAAATAATCACAAATAAATAAATGTCCGTGCAAAAAAATATATATAATATTTCAAACATAAGTCCTTATTTTCCCAAAAGGATTTTCAAGACAATGTTCCAAAATGTGCTTCCACCTAATCACCATGTGAAAAATAATATTGACCGCACTCACCAGATGGAGGTGAGTAATAAGCCTCATAGGATATAAGGGATCCTATAGCCCCTCCAAAGGAACTCAAATCGCCTTCACCCTGCTTAGATACAGCAATCGACTCCACTCTACTTCTCCATGGAATCCTCAATAATGTGCAAGGAAAGAAAGGCTACATAGTGTAATACTGCCACTCAATACCATATAAATCCATAGAATAAGACACTCACATGTTTCAATAAAATAACAGGCCTTGTTTAATAGCCTCAAAGGCTTCAAAGGAACAAGTTTCCAAATTGTAAATATAGGGATCTCACGCTTTTAGGATCACTGTAGAGAATGACCAGCTTTCCACCTCAAAAATGACTGCTTGAACCGCAAAAGTCGGCGTGCGTTCCAAATACCGGAAGTGACGTAGGCCAAGAAGACGGCAGACCGGAAGTGCGTCAACGCGTTTCACCCCACCCACAGGGCGTTCTCAAGACCTGTGGGTGGGGGAAACGCGTTGACACACTTCCGGTCTGCCGTCTTCTTGGCCTACGTCAATTCCGGTATTTGGAACGCATGCCGACTTTTGCGGTTCAAGCAGCCATTTTTGAGGTAGAAAGCTGGTCATTCTCTACAGTGATCCTTAAAGCGTGAGATCCCTATATTTACAATTTGGAAACTTGTTCCTTTGAAGCCTTTGAGGCTATTAAACAAGGCCTGTTATTTTATTGAAACATGTGAGTGTCTTATTCTATTGATTTATATGGTATTGAGTGGCAGTATTACACTATGTAGCCTTTCTTTCCTTGCACATTATTGAGGATTCCATGGAGAAGTAGAGTGAAGTTGATTGCTGTATCTAAGCAGGGTGAAGGCGATTTGAGTTCCTTTGGAGGGGCTATAGGATCCCTTATATCCTATGATCCCCCTCAAACACCAGGGTTCATAGTCAGTAGGCAAAAGGCTAGCCTGCAGTCCCCTTCAAATGCCCCTGTCCCAGTTGGGTCTGTCACACTTATATATAATCATATGTAGTTTTTTTTTTAAATATATTTTATTGAAATTTTTTCAAAAAGAAAAGAGATACAGTCAACATCAATGTTCAGAATGGGTATATAACCATGAAGGAGTACATATGCATCCACCGGTAAATGCAGTACAAATAGAATGTCTGATGTGACACACAGAAGATGAAAAAGGATCTAATGATAACATTACCCATAGGGGAGCTGATTATAGCCGGCTACAATAACACCATTCTTGTGGAGGCATGGATGAAAATCATAGTGAACTCCATACATAATCCTAATGACTATTTGCAGAGACGCCTAAATAAACTAGTTGACCTTTAAAAGAAAAAAGGTAATCAAACTATATAGACAATATAAAGAAAACCAAGCAAGATAAAATAAAACCAAAGGACAGGGGTAGAAGGGAGGGAAATGGGTGGGGGGAGAAGGGTAAGGGGAGGAGGAAGGAGAGGAGAAGAAGGCAATGGTTGGGGGAGGGCTACTCCTCTAGGCACAATGTGAAAAAAGTTTCATCTAAAGTCAGATGAAAAAGCCTCCTATCATCGGGAAGTAGCTGACCAGTAGTTGTATGTGATGCAGAAACCTTTTTTAGGATGGGTATCAGTTTTGTCAATGTGGTAGTAGTCTAGGCGCTGAAGCAAGAAGGAGATGGATTTTTTGTAATCAGCAAAAGAATAGAGGAGAGGACAAAAAAGGGCATGTCCTCATCAGATCATTTTTAGGTCCTGTAAAAAACTCAGAGTGGAAACAGAAACAACATCTCCTGCGCTCCACGACTCAGAGCAAGGATGGAAGGATGGAAAAGGAACTGGAGAAAATTTGATTTGGGCTCTGATGAAGAAGGGAACCCCTTTGAAACGCGTCAGCCTTACTTTAAGAGTCTACCCTCGTGATGTGACTTGTACTAGTTCTATACTCCTAAGTTTTGTTGAGGACCTTATACACTTGTTATACTTCTTTGTTTGTGAGCATTACTCTCTATTTAATAAAATCACATTTTACTGAGGTAATGAGCAAGGTTGGTGCACTTTCTTTTTGAAAGAATGTTTCTCAGTGGAGGAGAAGGTTGGAGGAGGTGTGTCCCCTTTAGATCATTCTTAGTGCAGCTGAGTCTGGAGACCCAGAGCCTTTAACAGCCACAGTACTAGAAGTTCAGCAGCAGAAAGAGGACAGGGCAGCCCTGCAGTGAAGATTTCTACAGAATCCAGCTGCTTGCACATTGCGGAACATACTTCATTAGAAGCAAGTAATGTAACCAGGGGCGGACTGACAACTCATGGGACCCCCGGGCAATAGGGGATCATGGGGCCCCTGTGTCCTTGGCCAAACTGAAAAATGCCTATGAAAAAGGTACCAGGGGCATCTCATGGGGCCCCCTACTGACCCCGGGCCCTCGGGCAGTTCCCGAGTTTCCAAATGGTCAGTCCGCCCCTATATATATAGTATATATTGCCCTTTCATTGGGTCAAAATAGGAGAAAACGACAAAGCGTTCTCAAGGACTGAGAAGCTCCAGAATATCTGCTGTGAATGAAGAAAATTGCCTTCTCGGTCTTTAAGTTATTTTACTCCAATATTGGGGCCTGGAGTCCAGAGACTTTGAAGAGCTTTGGAAGGGAAGGACCCTCTAACTTGATGTCCAGGTTTTACTAGGGACAAGCAGGCTCTCTGTGCAGGAGTACACGGCCTTTATAATTTAAGGCCTGGTCATAGATCAGGGCTTCGTCCAGGAGACAAGGCTTCCCCATGTAGAGTGCGCAATAGTGTAGTGGGCATTGGGAATTTATTAAAACAATAACAATTGTCAACTAACAGATAAGTATAGAAAGCTTATCGTCAATGCAGGGGGGGACTGACAACTCATGGGACCCCCGGGCAATAGGGGATCATGGGGCCCCTGTGTCCTCACCCACACCCAAAAAAGCCTATGAAAAAGGTACCAGGGACATCTCATGGGGCCCCCTACTGACCCCGGGTCCTCGGGCAGTGCCCGAGTTTCCAAATGGTCAGTCCGCCCCTGAATGTAACTAAAGCAGTCGAGAGAAAAGTTTTAACAAAACCGCAGCTAAAAAAGACTCAACACGACTTTTAAAATGGCATTAACATGCTAAACTTTTTATGAGATTATAGCATTTGGATGTAGGCTTACTCTCAACTTCATAGCTACTTCACTTTGAACTTACCTGTAGATTTTGTCTCAGCTGCTTTATGTGAATTCTAAGAATATACTTAAAACATTTCTTTTTTAAATTTTAAATGTTTTAAGTTTTTATTGAAACAAAGTATTCCGAACGTGTATGTTCTTATCCTGCCTCTTGATTGTTGAAACTTATCAAAACCGATCAAAACTTATCAAAACTTTTTTTGAACAGGTGAATGCTACATTTGAAAACTGATGATAGAATAATTTTATTTTTTTTTCTCTTATGTCACATATTTTAGAGTAAGTTCCCAGTGGCATCCCTAATTCTTATGTCCTCGGATATCTTTTTAATTTCAAAATGCCAACAGGCTATTTAGGATGAAACGGTGCTGTGAAATGAAGGTTAATTTAATGCTACAGTGATTACTCTGCATTTAAGAATGACATATTAAGTGAGTACGGCAATTAGATATTAAAGTTTACATTGTAAAATATTCTGGATAAAATATTCGTCGTAGTTCGGCGCTAAGTTTCGGTCTTTATAGGCCATTGAGGAGAGATTCGCTCGGAGTAGGAGATTTTAAAATACTGCCATTTACAAGTGGATGATGGTTTTATTTGTCATTTCACCAATGTGGATGATGTGATTATCCTTAAAACTCTGACTCATTTTACAAGTTTATTAGTTTCCAGGGAAACAGGATGTGAATTGCTTATAAACCGCAAAACAGAACTTCTAATTAAAAAGAATCTATGTTGGAACAGGAGGATACAGTATTTGTTTGACTCTTTTGACAGTTACCTGTGGAGATATAACAAGTGTTTACTGAAAAATATCAGTTGTATATACATTTATTTTTATTTTTTATTTTATTTTATACTGTTTGTGCGCTTTTGTCAATTGCCCCAGTAGAAGCTAAGGAGTTGTCTGTATTCCACATAAAACACCACTCAACTTTTGTGATACATAACAAATCAATTTAGGTCCTCACAGGTCATGTGCTGAAGAATCTGTTCCCAAACTTCTTCGGCAGCCATTATCAAAAAGGATTTCACAGAACCCTAGGGTTCTTCTAGAGGTTACTAGATGCTCCATGAGCAATGAGCAATTTCTGCCTCCCAGATAAGTAACCCCTGACACCATTGATCTTTTTAGCTATCTTCCCACTGAACATTAATTAACCACTTGCCTACCGGACACTTTTCAGCTTTCAGTGCTGTCGCACTTTGAATGACATGTCTGCGGTCATGCAACACTGTACCCGAACTAAAATGTAATCTTTTTTTTAAACAAATAGAGATTTCTTTTGGCAGTATTTAATCACCACTGTTTTTTTTTTTTTGCAAAACAAATAAAAAAATACCAAACATTTAAAAAAAAAAGAATTTTTCTTAGTTTCTATTTTGTAAATAGGTGATTTTTCTCATTTGCTGATATGAGCTGATGAGGCTGCACTGATGGGCACTGATCTGCTGTACTGATGGGCACTAATAGGCTGCACTGATGGGCACTGATGAGGAGGCAGTGATGAGGCTGGACTGATATGTGGCACTGATGGGCATTGATAGGTGGCACTGATGGGCACTGATAAGCAGCACCAATGGCCACTGATAGGCGGCACTGATGGGAACTGACAGGCATCACTGATTGGTACTGACAGTCATTACTGAGGAGGCACTGATAGCCAGCACTGATGGGCATTGAAAGTCAGCACAGATGGGCAATGATAGGCACTGATAAGCAGCACCAATGGCCACTGATAGGCGGCACTGATGGGAACTGACAGGCATCACTGATTGGTACTGACAGCCATCACTGATTGGTACTGACAGTCATTACTGATGGGCACTGATAAGCAGCACCAATGGCCACTGATAGGCGGCACTGATGGGAACTGACAGGCATCACTGATTGGAACTGACAGTCATCACTGATTGGTACTGTCAGTCATTACTGAGGAGGCACTGATAGCCAGCACTGATGGGCATTGAAAGTCAGTACAGATTGGCAATGATAGCCAGCACAGATGGGCACTAAAAGCTAACACAGATGGGCACTAAAAGCTAGCACAGATGGGCACTATTGGACACACACTGATGGGGCTATACCGATCATGATCAGTGTATATGTCCCCCTTGAGAAATGCTGCTTACCGGCTCTCCTCTCCTCTTGTGCTGTCAGCGTGAGGAGAAGACTGCTGATAACCGGCATTTCCTATTTACAATGTGATAAGCTGTGATTGGACACAGCTGGTCACATGGTAAAATGTGGTTCTGATTGGTCCTTTACTTGGACATGTGATAAGCTGTGTCTGAAGGACACAGCGATCACAGATCGCGCATTGTGTGCACCCCACTGGGTGTGCGGATGATATGACTCTGGGAGGATGTCCATCGACACCCTCCCTGAACCAGCCGACCACACTGTAGTTGTCTTTTGGCTATAGCGCGGTCGGGAGCTGGTTAATATAGGGAGTTTTTCTGACAGCTCATGGGGCCCTTGGGCAATAGGGGATCATGGGGCCCCTGTGTCCTTGCCCAAACTCAAAAAAGCCTATGAAAAAGGTACCAGGGGCATCTCATGGGGCCCCCTACTGACTCCAGGCCCTCGGGCAGTGCCCGAGTTACCAAATGGTCAGTCCGCCCCTGATCCCTATCATGTTAACGCACTGCAAGGTTTAGATAAACCAATTATTAGCAGGGGTTACTTAAGATGGGAAAGGCTTCCTTCAGGTTAAAAAGGTTGAGAAAGATTGTTCTAGGGGGCCAACTGCTCACAATTCAGACTGGGCAGCAGAGAAACAAGATCAGCAGTGGCATCAGGATCCAGTGTGTCAGGAACTAGATTGACTGCTGGTGGCATTGTGAAACAAAGGGGGGCTCAAAATGCAAAATCATGCCCATTTACATCACACGTGACATAATCACAGACATATGGTTGGCATGCAACACTTCCTTGCTGTCCACAGTGGTTCTCATCTATGTGATATACACATATAGTCTGGTGCTTCTATTGGCTCTACCTGCTGTTTTCCTGGTTTACTGTCTAATTCCAAGAACCTTACATCACTTCCACTCAGAGGGGCTTGCTCACCATTGACCACCTGGAAGGTCATCACCTGCTGGAGACTAATTGATATGCTATTTAATATCTTGTACCTGTAGATGCATAGTTAATGTTTTTTCATTTTAAACTTTTTTTTTTTAATAAATGCTACACTTAGGTAGAGATTATTATTATTATTATACAGTATTTATAAAGCACCAATAGTTCGCTCAGCGCTGTACATTACAAAGGGGGACAGAACATGTGACAGAACAATACCAATACAATGCAAAACATGAGGGGATCGAGGGCCCTGCTCTTTCGAGCTTACAATCTAGGAGGGAGGGGATGGTGGCACAGGAGGAGATAGCTGTGGGGGATGGAGTGGTAGGAAGAGTGGAGGAGGTCGGCAAGTAAGCAGGGGGTGGGGTAGGCTTCCCTGAAGAGGTGGGTTTTCAGGGTGAGCCTAAAGGAGAGGAGAGTAGGTGATAATCTGATGGGTAGGGGCAGGGAGCTCCAGAGGATGGGTGACACCCTTGACAAGTCCTGGAGGCGGGCATGGGAGGAGGAGACCAGGGAACTAGAGAGAAGGAGGTCTTGTGAGGAGCGGAGTGTGCGTGTTGGGTGGTACTTGGATATTAGGTCAGTGATGTAGTTCGGGGCAGTATGGTGGACAGCTTTGTACGTCAGTGTTAGGATTTTGAATTTGATCCTTTGCGCAATCGGAAGCCAGTGGAGGGATTGGCAGAGGGGGGGTGGCGGAGATGGAAAGGTGAATGAGTCTGGCAGCCGTATTCAGGATGGACTGAAGCGGGGATAGCCAACGGCGAGGCAGGCCAGTGAGGAGGGAATTGCAGTAGTCAAGTCGTGATATGATGAGGGAGTGGATGAGCTGTTTAGTGGTTTCTGGGGTTAGGAACGTGCGGATTTTGGCGATGTTGCGGAGGTGGAGTCTGCATGGAGTCTGCATGAGTTTGTTAAAGATTGGACTTGGGGCTGGAAGGATAGGTTGGAGTCCAGAATGACACCAAGTACTCTGGCCTGCGGGGCGGATTTGATGGTGGCATTTTTGGATGTGATGGAGAAGTCAGTGGGGGGTGGTGTCTGGGCTGGGGGGAAGACAAGAAACTCGGTCTTGGAGAGGTTCAGTTTAAGGAAGTGGAGCGACATCCAGTCTGATTTGTCACTCAGTAGGTGTGTGATTCGGGCGGAGACTGAGGGGGTGAGGTGGGGGGTTGAGAGATAGATTTGTGTGTTATCGGTAGAGATGAGCGAATCGAACATGGCGAAGTGGAATTCGTTTCGAAGATCAGGAAAAATTAGATTCGCGCCGAATCCGAAAATTAGCAAACTTCGGATGCACGAATCAAAATTTTCCCAAAAATGGCGGCGACATGTGTGGCGACGGAGCGGGGATCTCTGGGAAGGCGCGCAGACAAGGCGCGCTGACCCATAATGCATTCATTCATGACATGTGATCGCATTAGCCAATCAGCAGCCAGCCAGCCAGCACTGTGTAATGGTGGAGCTATAAATTGCGGCCATCTTACAATTCTCCATTAGCCTCCGGTCATTCAAGAGAGACAGACCTGTCTGTATTAGGGACAGAGTTAGGGCCAGAGAGACTTTAGGGCCACAGAATCGTTACTTAGGGACACAGAATCGTTACTTAGGGACACAGAATCGTTACTCAGGGACACAGAATTGTTACTCAGGGACACAGAATTGTTACTCAGGGACAGACACAGAATTGTTACTCAGGGACACAGAATTGTTACTCGGGGACACAGAATTGTTACTGAGGGACACAGAATTGTTACTCAGGGACACAGAATTGTTACTCAGGGACAGACACAGAATTGTTACTCAGGGACACAGAATTGTTACTGAGGGACACAGAATTGTTACTGAGGGACACAGAATTGTTACTCAGGGACACAGAATTGTTACTCAGGGACAGACACAGAATTGTTACTCAGGGACATAGAATTGTTACTCAGGGACATAGAATTGTTACTGAGGGACACAGAATCGTTACTCAGGGACACAAAATCGTTACTCAGGGACACAGAATTGTTACTCAGGGACACAGAATTGTTACTGAGGGACACAGAATCGTTACTCAGGGACACAGAATTGTTACTCAGGGACACAGAATTGTTACTGAGGGACACAGAATCGTTACTCAGGGACACAGAATCGTTACTCAGGGACACAGAATTGTTACTCAGGGACACAGAATTGTTACTGAGGGACACAGAATCGTTACTGAGGGACACAGAATTGTTACTCAGGGACACATAATTGTTACTCAGGGACACAGAATTGTTACTCAGGGACACAGAATTGTTACTCTCAGGGACAGACACAGAATTGTTACTCAGGGACACAGAATTGTTACTCAGGGACACAGAATTGTTACTGAGAGACACAGAATCGTTACTGAGGGACACATAATTGTTACTCAGGGACACATAATTGTTACTCAGGGACACAGAATTGTTACTCAGGGACAGACACAGAATTGTTACTCAGGGACACAGAATTGTTACTCAGGGACACAGAATTGTTACTGAGGGACACAGAATCGTTACTCAGGGACACAGAATTGTTACTCAGGGACAAAGAATTGTTACTCAGGGACAGACACAGAATTGTTACTCAGGGACAGACACAGAATTGTTACTCAGGGACAGACACAGAATTGTTACTCAGGGACACAGAATCGTTACTGAGGGACACAGAATCGTTACTGAGGGACACAGAATTGTTACTCAGGGACACAGAATTGTTACTCAGGGGCAGACACAGAATTGTTACTCAGGGACACAGAATTGTTACTCAGGGACACAGAATTGTTACTGAGAGACACAGAATCGTTACTGAGGGACACAGAATTGTTACTCAGGGACACATAATTGTTACTCAGGGACACAGAATTGTTACTCAGGGACAGCCACAGAATTGTTACTCAGGGACACAGAATTGTTACTCAGGGACAAAGAATTGTTACTGAGGGACACAGAATCGTTACTCAGGGATACAGAATTGTTACTCAGGGACAAAGAATTGTTACTCAGGGACAGACACAGAATTGTTACTCAGGGACAGACACAGAATTGTTACTCAGGGACACAGAATTGTTACTCAGGGACACAGAATCGTTACTGAGGGATACAGAATCGTTACTGAGGGACACAGAATTGTTACTCAGGGACACAGAATTGTTACTCAGGGACAGACACAGAATTGTTACTCAGGGACACAGAATTGTTACTCAGGGACACAGAATCGTTACTGAGGGACACAGAATCGTTACTCAGGGACACAGAATTGTTTCTCAGGGACACATAATTGTTACTCAGGGACAGGGACACAGAAGAATCATTACTCAGGGACACAGAATCGTTACTCAGGGACACAGAATTGTTACTCAGGGACACAGAATTGTTACTGAGGGACACAGAATCGTTACTGAGGGACACAGAATCGTTACTGAGGGACACAGAATCGTTACTCAGGGACAGACACAGAATTGTTACTCAGGGACACAGAATCGTTACTCAGGGACACAGAATTGTTACTCAGGGACACAGAATCGTTACTCAGGGACACAGAATCGTTGAATTAAAGAGTATGTCAGACAACACGCAGAGGAGTGGCAGAGGAGGCAATGTTTCAGGAGCGAGCAGATGTGGCAGCAGAGGAAGGGGTCGAGGCAGCACTAGTCGCAGCCAGAGGCCAGTGCTCCCGGTGTCATCCAGCGGTCGTGTCTCCTCCGACAACCCTGCCGTCATCGATTGGTTGGCTCGGTCGCCTTCCTCTTCCCAGGTCACCTCTGACACCTACAGCCAACGGTCGGTGGGTACGTCAGACACAACCGTTAGTTGGCATGGCCGGGAGCAAGCCCACTGAAATCACGTGTCCTCTACCTGCCCCTGTCCTTTGGTGTTCCCTCACCAAGCAAAATATCGCATGCTGTGGGCTCAGCCCCACTGTACAGTGAGGAAGAGCTAACAGAGGGCGGTCAGGAACGGGGGGAGACATCCGCCTCTTCAGCAGCCAGGCGAAGAAGTACTGGCGAGGAGAGTGGCTCGGTAGCCGGTCTAGAGACAGGTCTGTCTCCTGACCCACACGCAGCCGAGGGGGCTAGTAGTGAGGCGGAGACCCTAATTGATGATGATGAGGCTGATCGCACTTGGCAGCCTCGTCGTCATCTGCCAGGCCCGTAATCTGCCATGGGCCCCCGTACCGACTCCTCATGCTGCTGCCAAGCCCGTAATCTGTCATGGGCCCCTGTACCGCCTCCTCATGCTGCTGCCAGGTCCAGAGTGTGTCATGGGTCCCTGTACGGCCTCCCATTGCTGCTGTCTCCATCGCCACACTCTGCCATGTGCCACTTTCAGGTCTCCTCACACTGCTGGTGGGTTCCATTTTGTCATAGGGTGCTGGCAGATTATGGGCCTCTCATTGCTGCTGCCAGGCCCGTAATCTGTCATGGGCCCCTGTACCGCCTCCTCATGCTGCTGCCAGGTCCAGAGTGTGTCATGGGTCCCTGTACGGCCTCCCATTGCTGCTGTCTCCATCGCCACACTCTGCCGTGTGCCACTTTCAGGTCTCCTCACACTGCTGGTGGGTTCCATTTTGTCATAGGGTGCTGGCAGATTACGGGCCTCCCATTGCTGCTGCCAGGCCCGTAATCTGCCATGGGCCCCCGTACCGACTCCTCATGCTGCTGCCAGGCCCGTAATCTGTCATGGGCCCCTGTACCGCCTCCTCATGCTGCTGCCAGGTCCAGAGTGTGTCATGGGTCCCTGTACGGCCTCCCATTGCTGCTGTCTCCATCGCCACACTCTGCCATGTGCCACTTTCAGGTCTCCTCACACTGCTGGTGGGTTCCATTTTGTCATAGGGTGCTGGCAGATTACGGGCCTCCCATTGCTGCTGCCAGGCCCGTAATCTGCCATGGGCCCCCGTACCGACTCCTCATGCTGCTGCCAGGCCCGTAATCTGTCATGGGCCCCTGTACCGCCTCCTCATGCTGCTGCCAGGTCCAGAGTGTGTCATGGGTCCCTGTACGGCCTCCCATTGCTGCTGTCTCCATCGCCACACTCTGCCATGTGCCACTTTCAGGTCTCCTCACACTGCTGGTGGGTTCCATTTTGTCATAGGGTGCTGGCAGATTACGGGCCTCCCATTGCTGCTGCCAGGCCCGTAATCTGCCATGGGCCCCCGTACCGACTCCTCATGCTGCTGCCAGGCCCGTAATCTGTCATGGGCCCCTGTACCGCCTCCTCATGCTGCTGCCAGGTCCAGAGTGTGTCATGGGTCCCTGTACGGCCTCTCATTGCTGCTGTCTCCATCGCCACACTCTGCCATGTGCCACTTTCAGGTCTCCTCACACTGCTGGTGGGTTCCATTTTGTCATAGGGTGCTGGCAGATTAAGGGCCTCCCATTGCTGCTGCCAGGCCCGTAATCTGCCATGGGCCCCCGTACCGACTCCTCATGCTGCTGCCAGGCCCGTAATCTGTCATGGGCCCCAGTACCGCCTCCTCATGCTGCTGCCAGGTCCAGAGTGTGTCATGGGTCCCTGTACGGCCTCCCATTGCTGCTGCCAGGCCCGTAATCTGCCATGGGCCCCCGTACCGACTCCTCATGCTGCTGCCAGGCCCGTAATCTGTCATGGGCCCCTGTACCGCCTCCTCATGCTGCTGCCAGGTCCAGAGTGTGTCATGGGTCCCTGTACGTCCTCCCATTGCTGCTGTCTCCATCGCCACACTCTGCCATGTGCCACTTTCAGGTCTCCTCACACTGCTGGTGGGTTCCATTTTGTCATAGGGTGCTGGCAGATTACGGGCCTCCCATTGCTGCTGCCAGGCCCGTAATCTGCCATGGGCCCCCGTACCGACTCCTCATGCTGCTGCCAGGCCCGTAATCTGTCATGGGCCCCTGTACCGCCTCCTCATGCTGCTGCCAGGTCCAGAGTGTGTCATGGGTCCCTGTACGGCCTCCCATTGCTGCTGTCTCCATCGCCACACTCTGCCATGTGCCACTTTCAGGTCTCCTCACACTGCTGGTGGGTTCCATTTTTTCATAGGGTGCTGTATGGCCTCCCATTGCTGCTGCCTCCACCGCCACACTGTGGCTCCACACTCTGGTTGTGGCCCCGTGACTGCCCAAATGAGTGAAGTGTGCGGTGATTCTAAGATCGACGGCACTCATCTGCATGTCATACTGACTGACAGTATTATTTCTCTTCCCCAGCAGACTCCAAGGGCATTTAAATTAAAGGTACAGTGTTCTGCACTAATATAAAGGCTCTCTGAAGCCTAGAAACACCCTTTTTATAAGTTAAATTCGCAGCGAATATATTCGACTTGAATCAAATTTATTCCGCAAATTCGCCGAATCAGCCGAATCGAATTTTTGAATAATTCGCTCATCTCTAGTTATCGGCATAGAGGTGGTAGTTGAAGCTTTCCTCTCTCCTTCTTTTTTTCATTTATACATTGTTTGCTGGTGAGAGCCTCCCCAGATCCCACTTGAAAGAGACTGCTAATGTTGCCATAATGTGAACTTCATACCACAGTGTTTTTATACTATAGACTTTATTCAAGGATTAAAATACACTTTCATTTTATTGCATTTATCATTTTATGTTAATTCTTATTTTAGCAGTCACACTAGTGTCCCCCCTCCCCCATTCTTGTGCCTGGGAACATTTAGGGTGTTAAAGCCTTTTGCCATTTTTTAACATAATCAAGCAGGATTCAGCACTTAGAATAACAGAGATACAAACTGAAAGACCATCCAGCAATGATCCATTGTAGGGCCCAAGTTAAAGTTATTGCAAAGGCAGATTTTTTTAAAAATAACAGACATGTTATATCTACCTGCTCTGTGCAGTGGTTTTGTACAGAGCAACCCTGATCCTCTTCTTCTCAGGTCCCCCCGACGGTGCGCCTGGCCCCTCCCTCCTGCCAAGTGCCCCCTGAGCAAGCAGCTAGCTATGGCAACACCCAAGCAGGCTTGTTCCCAAACCATTGCTCTGTGTGTCTATTCACACACAGATGTGGCTTGGCCCTGCCCCTGCTCTCTCCTCATTGGCTCACTGGCTTTGATTGACAGTAGTGGGAGCCAATGGCTCTCGCTGCTGTCTCAGCCAATGAGGAGGGAGAGAATTGGGACAACCAAGGCTCTGGTTTACATCACTTTCTTGATCAAGATGGGGCACAGGTAGGTATTGGGGGGCCGTTTGGGGATTCTTCTGCACACTGAAGGTTTTTTATCTTAATGCATAGAATGCATGAGCGTAAGAAACCTTGAGCCTTCACTATCACTTTAAGTCCATTAGTCACCAGTATCTGTGGTGGATGTCCTTGTCTATCCACAAGCATGCTCATGTGTGCAATCTTGCAAGCTTAGTTAGGCCTCCATGCCAAAAAAGATGTGCACATTTATGCACATGAAAATAATCACAATCTCTCTGATAGCTGACAAGAGGTTTCAGAGTCAACCCAATATCTACATTACAATGTCCCAGAGCCACTTACTTGGAGGTAAAATCCCAGGCACATTCCTCTAAGGTTAGAGTTTGTGTCATCCGGTTGATCACAAGTCACTTTGCCTTGGATTTTAAAGGCTTATTGCACAGGTGCATTAGGAGTATGGGAGGACGGTGAAGGGATTGGGGTGTAACATGCACAGAAGGAGAGGTGAGCATTTACCTTCTCTTCTGCAGAAACAGCTTTGTTTGCCAGTTTTATTTTAGCATTATATTCTTTCCTACATTTCCTCTCTACGCCTCCGCACTGTTCAGTTGTGTCAAAGCATGCTGTATTTGATGGATGCTTTTCAAGTGATGTTTTCTATCTAGCTAATCCTTATTATTAACATGTATATATAATCTACAATGCACATACACAATCTAGTTTATTATTATCTTTTGGTATTATTATTTACGCCTTTTTCAAATTCAGTAGAGACATTGGAAGAGAAAAAGAATGTAAAGATATCTTCCTTAGATCTTCCTTTTAGACTAGTTAAGAAAGAAAGGGAGGGAGGAAGGAAGGAAGGAAGGAAGGGATGGATGGATGAATTAAATAAAATGGAAAAGAAAGAAAGAAAGAAAGAAAAAAGAAAGAAAGAAAGAAAGAAAGAAAGAAAGAAAGAAAGAAAGAAGAAAGAAAGAAAGAAAGAAAAAAGAAAAGAAAGAAAGAAAGAAAGAAAGAAAGAAAAAAAGAAAGAAAGAAAGAAAGAAAGAAAAAGAAAGAAAGAAAGAAAGAAAGAAAGAAAGAAAGAAAGAAAGAAAGAAAGAAAGAAAGAGAAAGAAAGAAAGAAAGAAAGAAAGAAAGAAAGAAAGAAAGAAAGAAAGAAAGAAAGAAAGAAAGAAAGAGAAAAAGGAAGTATGTATCGTCCTCCAAGAAAGGGAGGGAGGAAAGAAGGAAGGAAGGGATGGATGGATGAATTAAATAAAATGGATAAGAAAGAGAAAGAAAGAAAGAAAGAAAGAAAGAAAGAAAGAAAGAAAGAAAAAAGAAAAAAGGAAATGTATTGTCCTCCAAGAAAGAAAAGAAGGAAAGAAGGAAGGTAAGATGGATGTATTGTCCTCCAAAAAAAAAGATGGAAAAGAAAAAGAAGGATGGATGGTGAAGGAAAGGAAAAAAATGGAAAGAAGGAATGAAAAAAGGAAAGTATGTAAAAAAAAGAGGAAGAAGAAAGAAAGAAAGATGAATTAAAAAAAAGAAAAGAAAAGAAAGAAAGAAAGAAAGAAAGAAAGAAAGAAAGAAAGAAAGAAAGAAAGAAAGAAAGAAAGAAAAAAAAGTATGTATCGTCCTCCAAGAAAGGGAGGAAGGAAGGAAGGAAGGGATGGATGGATGAATTAAATAAAATGGAAAAGAAAGAAAGAAAGAAAGAAAGAAAGAAAGAAAGAAAGAAAGAAAGAAAGAAAGAAAGAAAGAAAGAAAAAAGGAAGAAAGTATGTATTGTCCTCCAAAAGAAAGGAGGAAGGAAGGAAGAAAGAAGGGATGGATGGATGGATGAAGGAAAATAAAATGAAAAGAAAAAAGAAAGAAGGAAGGAAGGAAGGGAATGGATGGAGAAAGAATAAAATGGAAAGAAAAGAAAAAAAAAGGAAAGAAAGAAAGAAAAAAGAAAGAAAGAAAGAAAGAAAGAAAGAAAGAAAGAAAGAAAAGAAAGAAAGAAAGAAGAAAGAAAAAGGAAGTATGTATCGTCCTCCAAGAAAACGAGGAAGGAAGGGAAGGGATGGATGGATGAATTAAATAAAATGGAAAAGAAAGAAATAAAGAAAGAGAGAAAGAAAAAAAGAAAAAAGAAAGAAAGAAAGAAAGAAAGAAAGAAAGAAAGAAAGAAAGAAAGAAAGAAAGAAAAAGGAAGTATGTATTGTCCTTCAAGGAATGTGAACTTTTTTTTTGCGCCCCACCCCCATACAAATCTAATCTTTCCCTAGATAAGTGCTACCAATTACAATAACAAGGTATCAATAGTAACCCAGACAGAAATGTCTCACTGTGGTAGACAGCTTGATCTTATTTATTTATTTCAGGTATTTATATAGTGCTGTCAATTTACGCAGCTCATATATATTGAACATTCACATCAGTCCTTAACCCTCAAGAGGTGTACAATCTAAGGTCCCTAACTTACATTCATACATATACATATTGGGGCTAGAGATGAGCGAAGTATTCAAAAATTCGATTCGGCTGATTCGGCGAATTCGAGGAATAAATTTGATTCGATGCGAATTTATTCGCTGCGAATTTAACTTATAAAAAGGGTGTTTCTAGGCTTCAGAGAGCCTTTATATTAGAGCAGAACACTGTACCTTTAATTTAAATGCCCTTGGAGTCTGCTGGGGAAGAGAAATAATACTGTCAGTCAGTATGACATGCAGATGAGTGCCGTCGATCTTAGAATCACCGCACACTTCACTCATTTGGGCAGTCACGGGGCCAAAACCAGAGTGTGGAGCCACAGTGTGGCGGTGGAGGCAGCAGCAATGGGAGGCCATACAGCACCCTATGACAAAATGGAACCCACCAGCAGTGTGAGGAGACCTGAAAGTGGCACATGGCAGAGTGTGGCGATGGAGACAGCAGCAATGGGAGGCCGTACAGGGACCCATGAGAGACTCTGGACCTGGCAGCAGCATGAGGAGGCGGTACGGGGGCCCATGGCAGATTACGGGCCTGGCAGCAGCAATGGGAGGCCCGTAATCTGCCAGCACCCTATGACAAAATGGAAACCCACCAGCAGTGTGAGGAGACCTGAAAGTGGCACATGGCAGAGTGTGGCGATGGAGACAGCAGCAATGGGAGGCCGTACAGGGACCCATGAGAGACTCTGGACCTGGCAGCAGCATGAGGAGGCGGTACGGGGGCCATGGCAGATTACGGGCCTGGCAGCAGCAATGGGAGGCCCATAATCTGCCAGCACCCTATGACAAAATGGAACACACCAGCAGTGTGAGGAGACCTGAAAGTGGCACATGGCAGAGTGTGGCGATGGAGACAGCAGCAATGGGAGGCCGTACAGGGACCCATGAGAGACTCTGGACCTGGCAGCAGCAGCATGAGGAGGCGGTACGGGGGCCCATGGCAGATTACGGGCCTGGCAGCAGCAATGGGAGGCCCGTAATCTGCCAGCACCCTATGACAAAATGGAACACACCAGCAGTGTGAGGAGACCTGAAAGTGGCACATGGCAGAGTGTGGCGATGGAGACAGCAGCAATGGGAGGCCGTACAGGGACCCATGAGACACTCTGGGCCTGGCAGCAGCATGAGGAGGCGGTACAGGGGCCCATGGCAGATTACGGGCCTGGCAGCAGCAATGGGAGGCCCGTAATCTGCCAGCACCCTATGACAAAATGGAACACACCAGCAGTGTGAGGAGACCTGAAAGAGGCACATGGCAGAGTGTGGCGATGGAGACAGCAGCAATGGGAGGCCGTACAGGGACCCATGAGAGACTCTGGACCTGGCAGCAGCATGAGGAGGCGGTACAGGGGCCCATGGCAGATTACGGGCCTGGCAGCAGCAATGGGAGGCCCGTAATCTGCCAGCACCCTATGACAAAATGGAACACACCAGCAGTGTGAGGAGACCTGAAAGTGGCACATGGCAGAGTGTGGCGATGGAGACAGCAGCAATGGGAGGCCGTACAGGGACCCATGAGAGACTCTGGACCTGGCAGCAGCATGAGGAGGCGGTACGGGGGCCCATGGCAGATTACGGGCCTGGCAGCAGCAATGGGAGGCCCGTAATCTGCCAGCACCCTATGACAAAAATGGAA